AAATCTGCCTACAAGAAAATCTGTCACCAAAGTATACCAATATATATATATGTATACACACTGTTGGGGAGATATGTGCAAAAGCATAAAACATTAGTGTATCAAACAAGAATTGGAATTCTTTATATATATTTATAACATCTATTAAAAAATGTACTTTAATTTTAAATAAAATTGTATGCTTTGATAATGTTTTACTTTTATATTAAAAAAAAATATTATTCTTGTTTGTTGTAAGCATATCTAGTCATGTGTACATATCATACAAAATTACACAAATATACATCTGGGCATCACAACTGTAAACAATAATGTTTTTTAGATGTAAAACACAGTAGACTTGTGTATTGATATCACATGTGGCCTCAATAAATTCTTGTAGGAAGTAATGAAAACCATGTTGTTTTTGTCCAATATGTTCAGAAGACATTCTGTGTGTGGAATATTAGTTTAAAACAAATATACACTTACCTTTTGTATAAAGCTTGTTGATGATGTAGTATCTGTTCAGATATAATGTTTATACTTAAGAGTTATTGCTAGTTTGTGACAAAACAAAAAGTATACTTGATTATAAGGAGCAAAGCTTGCCACTATATAGAACCCATAAAGGCCAGTTTAGTTGGTAATATGGTTTCTACATCAATTATTGTAAATTAAGAAGAATTATGTAAAACCTTCTGAATGTACAAGGAGCATTTTTAGATAGAGAACCTAAGTACATTCTTGTGAATGTGTATCTATATAGTAAATTGTTTTACTCTATTTAAAATGGAAGCCGAAGATGTGAGTGGATTAATGTTAATTTAGTGGTTGTTTCTTTTGTTTGTAGATATTGCATCATTCACACTTGGTTCTTCTATATCACTGTGCTTTTAGCCATTGAAACAACAGTAATGGAGATCATACAGCACAAAAATGTACTATATGAACGAGGTAACTTTGTATTCATTTATTGAATAATACTCTTAAACTTCAAGTTTGTAAGACACTACATCACAATAAGACTGATAATGGTGTTTATCATATCTATTGGCTCTGTACGAGTTTCTGATAAGAAGGATATAGTAGCATTACAACTGCACACATTGTTAACAGTTGCACTATTTTCCATTATTGTGTAGATTCAAGTTGTGTTAATGTATTTTTGTTATAAATCACAATTTATTAATGTATGGTTGTGATATATTGTTCAAAATGCCCAGTATCACTTCCCACAATTCTGCTAAGTTGTATGTTTGCCATTTGATCTTCTCTACTTCCATATAAAGCTCTACAATTTGCATGGATAAGTTTTAACATTTTGCTTATTGGTTGCTCAGATTTTGTTTGCTTGACATCAATGAAACCAAATTTGGTGGCAGATACTCAATAATATTCAGGTTAGACTCTTTCCTTAGCTATTTTGATAGTCTAACACATTGTATTAGAAACCATAGTCTATTACAGTGAGGTAGAATACCAACCAGTCTTCGAGACACAGTACTAAAATTACAATATTAACCTGGAACTATTCTTAAAAACAGCTGGAAATTTCAGCTACTCATTGAAGAGAATGCTTCAAAGTTATCTTCTTGTTAGACAGTAGTGCAGAATTGGGTATTGATATTTATTTTTGTGTATTTATAAGAAATATCATTACTCAGATTGATATTTGAATGAATAAACTTTTTTCTGACCAAAGGTGCTATTGAGGTTCACTGATATCCGAGAGAAAAGCTAAAAGTTACAAAGTACTATTTTTTGTTTCAAACAGAGCATTACACATTGTTTTTGTGCTACCATTAGTTTATTAATGTATGGTTGTGATATATTGTTCAAAATGCCCAGTATCACTTCCCACAATTCTGCTAAGTTGTATGTTTGCCATTTAATCTTCTTTACTTCCATATAAGGCTCTGCATCTTTAATAATACTCAAGCTTAGCCCTTGTTGTGTGTTTCATCATTCTCTTTTCATCCAGGCATAACTTCACAAAATATGCTGCATGGTTTCTATCTTGCTAGGGAGTGCCATGAGGGATGAGAAAGTGCTTGCACCTGTCAGCAGCTGGGGCACTATCAATTTTGTATAAACTTTCAACACTACTGACTGAAATCCAGACCACACATGTATTTATCCTCCAGTGTGCTTCATTGTACATGTTTGTTGACTGTGATATCATTCTCCTCTTTACTATTTTAGCTAGACAATTTGTATTTATATGTGAAGAGCACCCTCCTATAGCACTGCTTCCATAACTGATGCTGGTAATATGACAAATCTGCTACAATTGTTAATTAAATACCAGGATAAGCAGTTGTGAGCCCACAAGCAACCAACACGAGGAAGTTTACGTAAAGAATAAGGAATTCAATCAGAGTGTTTATTTAGCATAACATATATCCAAGCAATACATGGGATACTTCTTTGATAATTCTTGAAGAATGCTCATCAAAACTACTACTCCAGGCAAACTATTAGTTAACTATAATTTCGTCAGTTCTGAGAATATATTGGATCTCATCTTGGCAATTCACAGCAGCATGCTTTTTTCTCAAACTACTTCATCAGACATCCTCTTTTTGCTGGTAAAATGATGCCTCTAGACCTGTTCTTTATAATCTACAGGCAGGATGTTGGCATTGTTTCAAAGAGAACCAAAACCATAACTGCAACAAAGGATTTTAGCTTTGGTTTAATTGTTTTGCACATGACTTTAAAGCTTCTTGTTTTGTGGATTTTTAGAATTCAGCAAATCTTTTTATTGATGCAACTGTATTCCCCAGATGTGCCTAGATAACAGATCACTCAATGTCCGACCGGCACGTCTTCTTCTAGCATAAACACTTGGCTTTCTAGAGTTTGAATTTCCTTTCATGGATCCATCATTTTCTTCACTCCTGAACTCTTTCCCAGACATGTTATATATTATCTCATTAACGTCTACACAGCTGTGTGTTAAACTTAAGCATCCTGCTGACTTGTTGATCTATTAGCATCCTTTTTGTAATGATAAAAGAACTACATGTTCATTTTCTAAGGTGCTAGTCTTGGAATCTTGCTTTTAAGTAAACACTTGTTACTGTTAATACTGAAGTTCTTTTTCTCTTATTTGGTCATCTAATGCATGCTATATTTCCATATCATATTTAGGCCAAAATATTTACTACTAGTAGATTTAAAAAATAATAAAAATAAACCGAAACATCTGATGATACTTTAAGCACTTTTATTGGGTTGTCTGCTAGTCATGCTATTTCAAATAGGTGTCAAATTTTTTTTATATATAAAACAAAGATAACACTAGTTTTTATTGCATGTTTTTCACAATTTCTAAAGAAACTGACAGATAATTAGTACACAAAAATGAGAAGAAATGTGACAGAAAAATTAAAAATAACTTTAATACAGTGTTATCCAAATGGTGTCCACAGGTAATTTCTATTCAGTCCTTAGCATTGTTTCAGTTATAATATATATTTTATTGATTGTCAATTGTTAATTATATTATTGGATCTTTATATGGGTTTCTTATATTCATGGTTAAGCACAAGTAACGTTTTGTTACCCTTCACCTGAAGATAAGTGCAATTCAAAAATAAAAATCCACTTTATTGTAAATCTTTATTTTCACAAAACTGTTTTTCAAAGATTTTTAAAAATAATTAAACAGCAATAATTAATAAAAATTAGAAAAATTGCATTCTCTTCTGCCATCTTTTGTTACTTGCTCGTCCTTGTAAACAAAAATGATCCTAAACTTAGCCACATACCACGACTAGATACTTTGTTTTGTAAGACATTACTGAAACACATTTTCTTTTTAAATGAAATTTATAAGTACAGAGAGATCTGTTTCATAAATAATAATAATACTCATAATAAATTAATAAATGTTACCTCCCACAAGTGATGAAAGCATGCTAAGAATTAATAGCTATGCTTTGATGTATTTTAATTTCACAAAATTCCCATAAATGAAAACTATTCAAAGAAATTAAATATCTATCAGTCTTTTAGTATCCCAAGCATGTTTTTTATTTTAATTCAAAAAATTGAGTTTTGCCAATTGCTTGGATAAGTTGGGTCTTTGTGGTGTTTATCAATTCACATTAGATAAATATGTTACTGAACCTAAAACAGCTTATAAAAAGTGACACTTTTATGTCAAAGTAGATCAGTATTTAATTAAGATGAAAATACCTCTGACAGTAAGGCAGTTACAGAACATGGATACGTAAAAATGGTTAATCTGAATATTACAAGACATGGAATACCTAGATATTCATTTTTAGATATATTACATTCATTTTTCAGTAATAATGCTCTACTCATCCTTAATTAAGACTGGAGAAAAGAAAGGCACCTAGTCAACAGCACACATCACCTACTCTTGTTTAACTGAATAGTGAAACTTAACCACAAACCTTATATTAATGCCTGAGTATGGAGTGTAAATTTATTTTGGTGGTAAAGGAACACCAACAGTGGAACCACAGATACATAGTTTCACATTCTAAGCACTGGCCTTGCTTTACGTAAAAGTATCAAATTAATATAAATACTTTCCTAGTTTTAATAAATGTAATGAAAATAAAAAAAGTAATGTTCTTGTTGGTCAGTATGACATAAACTACAAAATATATTGTCCCAACAGAATCACAATGTGGCTAGTAACAACTAATTTAATATTTTGCCAGCAAAAGAAAACATTAACAATACAATTAAAAATTCAATGCTAAGTCAAAGACGTTTAACTATGAAATGTTGGTTCTCTCCTTTTCCAGTTGTAAATGTAACATATAGATATATATTGAAGTAAACAGTGAAGTGAAGTAGTATAGTATATTTTCCAGCTTACCTAGAAAATAGATTTTTACTAAGACATCCTTCCTGATGTATTTAATTGTATTTGAGAAAGTAATATAATAAAGGTTTAAATTGAAGATAAATTTTGAAACATAGAGTTGCAAAGTTAAGAGATAATACAACAAATGGAAATATACGAAATTCAGTTGTAACATTAGATATATAAACATGATGAAAACATATGAATAAGAAACTTTAAAAACACTGGGAAAAGTGTTAAAATGTACAAAATAAAAATAGCTTAAATAAACACTGAAAATTACAATGCAAATATACTGTAATATCTTCATTAATATTAAAGACTAAAAATCTTATTTTGAGCTTTTGATAATAGTACAGTAATACTTTATCTCTTATAGCTAAATAACAGTCTAAAACAAAGTTTAACTTTCAAATGAGTGCTTTTCTGAATTTTAAAGCAAGCATAATGCCACAATTACTATTCTCCAGGTGTTTATCACTATGATGTTTAAAGCATCAAACTAATCTTGTGATGCTTTTGCAATAAACTTCTAGTCTAAAATTAATCTTTCGTACCTTGCAAAATTAACTAAAGTGATAAGGATGTAATATATGGTAACATCTGTAATATACTCACAAATTTTCATTATAAAAATAAAAGTTGTGATTTTTGGATCTCATTAATACATATTTGCTATACACAACAATCACTCAGTAGCAGTCGTCGTTTACTGGAAAGCAGACCAATCTTATCAAGTTCTATAATTTCTTAATAAATAACTTTGCACTCGGTTAGTATTACTTGTGATAAAATACTTATAAAAATGCTTCTTAAAAAAATCCATGTACTTAAAATAATCATAAATTCCAGCTTAAACTCAAAATATTTAAGAATACAGAGGCAAATGTTAGAAATAAACATGCATATACATGATACAACATGTAACTATAACACAAATATATAAATATCTATCTACTGTAGTCCAGTTGTAGTTGATTTTGTTTCTTAAGAAACATATTTAATAAAAACAAAATGTCATAGAAGCATGTTCAATTCCAAAGGTCACATCATTTATAGAACAAATGGTTGAAACTTACTGCTGCAAAAGGTGATTATAGTTTTTCAAACATAAGTATTTACATTCTCCCTTCAAAACCATTTGATACTTTACTTGGCACTTATTTCAATAATACTGAAACAAATAAATGTAAATCATAATTTAAAAAAGGATAATACAAAGCTTTAGTCACTAAATTAAGATAAGTTTGTTTAAATAAATGTTAGGAAAGAGACTTTTGGAAGACTAGAGAAAAATCCTTCCTTATTTAAGTTCATAAATTTAAATTAAAGTTCTTTCCCTCAGAATCCATAACAATGAGCCTAATTAAATCATGCATTCAATCAAGTCTATTCATTTATCTGTGTCTACAAACATCACGTACAGCCCTTGATATTCTGGAAAAGCTTGCATGAATCCCCAGTAAAACCTCTTAGGTTGCACCTGAAATGCACACACCTTTCTGCTTTATGAGTAATAAACTACAAAAATACCATGGATTTATTTAATGTTATTTATCTATACAACTTGTGCATGTACACATTTGAGTCTTGATGTTACTTTGGCTGAAATCAATGAAAAATGTTGCTTTCCCACCTTCACATTCTATAAAACTTAAATATTTTCCCATCAGTTTACATGGGCTGTACAAGTAAATGAAAGATGATCTTGAAATATCTTTGCAAAGCAGATTTTTTCCTATACTGCATCTACAAAGCCATGTAACTTAAAATTGTTTTAAAACCTATTGTAAGTCTAACCACAATGTTCAGAGAAACGTCTTATAATTTCCAATTACTCATAATTTAGACTATTTATTATTAATTGTGATTATTATTTTAAAATTCAGAAGCTCTTCTGGTGAAAGTTATTACATAATAGAAATGGATTTTTAATGCAGGTAATTTATTATACTAAAAATGTGTTTTAAAGGTTGGGATACAAGTTTCTGAGTAATTAAAAGTATAACTTGAGTAATTTCCTGAAAAGCTGTACAATTTAACCTGAGATCATTTTACAGTTTGCTTGTGAGAATAAGTTCTATAATTGATGGTATTTTGGGATGAATGACTCAGTTTCATAGTTATGGTAAGTTTTTCAAAATATTACATTTTCTACAAAATAACCATTATCTATAGAACGAATATCATAGTATTTTCATAGTGCAGGCAATCTGCTGATGTTTACTTAATTTACTGTTTAACAGCACACCTTTCAGACCTTTTTACAACCATTAATCAGAACAACTCAAAGTAAATTATGTAGAGAATAATGTATACATTCATAATAACACATTTTTTTTTGTTTTGATTACACTATATGAAAAATAAAAACTACAGTGCATAATACTAACAAATTACATTTTTGAAGTGGTACCCAAACTTACCTATAAGGTTAAGCATTCTTATTAGCTACTTTCGACATTTAAAATATTTTAACTCATTTAGTTCCTAGCAGTTTAATATAACAAAGTTTCTCAATTTCTGATAGTGTCTGATTTAATTAATAAAACTATTCTCTGTCAAAACAGCAACTAGAAATTTGTACAAATTGCTGTAATCTAACAGAAAATGTAGTTAGTTCAAAATCAACCAACTTTTTTTTTGGTACATGAATAATGATTATAGCACATGATCATATTTAGTAGTGTTTTTCTTGTATAACTGGAGATACAATTTCTCAACTGACACAGTAACACTAAACTTTACAAAAATAAGTTAGATACTAAACATAATACTACTGTCTACAAAGGTATGCATTAAAATATACACAAGACTAGAATCATCAATCATTGCATGTACTTCAGACAAAAAAAATCTTGACCATGCACACAAAACAGATGACAGAATCGTAAAATTTGCTTCCATTCAAACAATGTACTTCAGCTGTAACCACAGATGTTTTAATTTCACTACTTTTGATTTGTTTGGCTAATACACGTACTGGAAAACTTGGGAAGATTGAGAAAGTAGGTATGAAGTTCAATAACCGTTCAATATTTTGTTAAGTTTTGTTTGTACAATAGTTCTTGCTACTTAAAACAACTATGTCCTGTCACATTGATGCTAAATTTTCCATGGGAAGCTATTGAAGCTATTATTATTCAAAGCTGGACAATCTAAGCTACTGATTACTTCAGAATACATTATCACCTTATCAAATGAGAGCTATGAACCTATGATGAGAAAAGGTTGTACCTAAATAGTTAGTTAGTTTTAGCTGAGCTGTGGAGGGTTTTCCTTACAAATTTTTCTTGTCATTTCAGCCTATATAAAGAAAGAATTGAAGTATTAACTATTTCATAAATGCTGCAAACAATACATTAACACACAAACATCCTCTCACTATATACATAACATAAAAACTTTAAAAAAAGATAATTAATTATGAAATAATGGTGAAATATAAATAAGCAGAGCCACATTTTAGTGCAGATCTTCTGAAACTGTTTTAAGTAGTTGTATATTCAATTTAAATTGCTTTATTTTACTGTTTGTTTAATTTCATACATAGCTACTCAAGTGGTATCTGTGCTAGTTTTCACTAATTTTGAAGTGATAGAACAGTTCAGTATGCTAACCACTGGACTCCAAATTGCTTTATGAATATCACTAAATTTATTAGTATTGATTCAAAATTCCTTTCATAATATAGTGTTTTATTTCACCTTATACAATGAAATAATTAAGTGTATTAAAAATCATAAGGGTAATTTTATTCAATGTATTGTAGCTGTGCATTAGCACTAACATATCTTACAAAGAAAAAAAACACCATAAATTTATAACGAGTATATTGTGATTTAAAATTAACAAATTCACCCTTTTCTCTTACCAAAGGCTCAAACTCCTTCTGACTTACAATGTCAAACTCGGTAACAAAATAATAGAAATGCTTATAACACGTATTCACATGGGCTTCCTAGGTAGAAGAAAATAAAAAACACAAATGGCATGATTAATAACATGAAATAAAATACACACACAAATATTAACTGTTTTGTTAGCATAGAAAGTTTCATTTTCAAACTAACTTTATATCTATTAAGCATTTATCCTTCCAATCATTCCTTTACAGTGGGTTAAATTGTCTAGCAGTTACAAAGAAAAAATAATCTGTTATGAAAACGTTATTAAATCAATTTTATAATTTCAGAACACTTACTTTAGAGTGCACAACTCTGTTTCCAAAATTTAAAAAAGTACTTAAGCAATTATTTTATAATATTCATTAAGAAATCCCACATAATATTAATAACACTTTAAACAACCAAGTTACTTATTTTCCTTTGACAATTTATTTGAGCAGTATGTGCAATCTATCAAACTACTGTTAGGGGGGCCTCTTATTGAATCTACAAAAATTAGTTACGACATTTTTAACCAAATGTGAAGAAAGAATGTTGACTATAATTCCAAATTTGCTAAGTGTATCTACACAAAATGTGGTAATCTTTTAGTGAAATGTACAAGTCTGTTGTATACAAAAAATCAAATTTGTTACAAAAGTATTCGTACTCACAATATGTCTCTAAATTGATATCATCAGTCTGACTCGCACAAGTCAGAGGGTACGATGATGTTCATGTGATGAATAAAAATACTCTTGTCCATCATACAGTTTGCACATTGTATTTGGATAATCTCTAGAGCTTCTGAAATATGTATTTAGTTTTTCAGTATCCTTGTATATTATTTCTGGTATTTGCTTTCCTCTACCAAGAACTGTCTATAAATCAGCAATGTAGGGTAAAATGAATCAAATATTCAAAAGTACTTGTTAATAACAAAACTATAAATAAGTGTTATTTGAAGAAACTGTTAGCATTTAAACCATAATATTGCTCTTTGCATTTTGTTCACTGAATGTTTTTAAGTGTTTTGAGCAAAATATTTCACATTGTATTTTTATTACTAAAAACTTAAACAAGTGTGACCACTTAATACAAGTTAATGCCAAAACAGTAAAAAAGGTCAGGTAATCATAAGTTTTGCATATATTCAAAACTGATGTTAAACATAAATCACTGTGTGCACATATAAGTGTTGATGCCCCCCATAGGTGGAATCACTGCTTCTGTCTGTACCTTAAAATTTTTTTTTTATAATGCTGAAGATAGTCATAATAATTATATGATGCAACACATGAAATGAGATTCTTCAAGTACTTAATGTTTATCTATGATTATGTCATTTATGCCCAGTCAAAGTGTTCAAACATGCAAGGGATGTTTTCACGTACCTTCTTGCCAATATGTGCACTCAGTCATACAGATAAATCAACTTAACAAACGATACCATGTGTACACATGGAATGTTCATACACAATGTGTAGCTCATAATTGCATACATCATAAATAGGGGAGGTCCAAGTTATTTGGTGACTGGATAACATATTGGGTTTGGTGAAATATGGAGGATTTTGAATGCAATGAAATACTTACCAAAATAATTTATCATTAATCGAGTGATCATCTTTATCAGAGTTTTAAGAGTTCACTAAATATAACAGTGCATCTAACAAGCATTGATGTATTAAAACAAGAGGTCTGAATTAAAATATCTGAAAATATTTCTATACAAATCCTATATAATACTTACAGCTCCAATAGCAACTAGTCTATCAAAGTGATGAATATAAACATGAACAAAGACCCGAAATAATCTGGTAAGGATCTTTTTACATGTCGGGATGAAGTTCTTTGGAAATGGTACATCTGAAAAACATTGCAAGATAGGGAACCATAACATTTTTCTAATATTAATAGAGAAAACTAACATAAGATATTAATTTCAACAGTTACACACTACAGTTAAACATATTATTTGGTTTTCCAGAGTGAAAATCAAGGAATATAAAGAATGAGTAAACATTTAAAGCTTAACCAGAGCTGTAAAAAAATTATTAACCACATACTAAACAGGCAGCTAAGTTTACTATTCAGTAATTTTCTAAACATGAAACTACTGCACAGTTCACATAAAAAAGATGACTTTAACAGTGTGCATATTAAAAGTTTCTCATAAATAAAATACTAAATATTAATTTCTCTCTATATAATTTTACAATTTTCAAACTCAATTAAAATTATGTGCTGAATGCATGTATACTTTTTTTCAGTTTGCTTTCTCAGACTGACCAGAACAATGTGGTCACATTGCTGTAAATGTGCAGTAGCCTGTGTTACATTTCTTCTTCAAGAACTATAGCAAGGGGTGAGAGCAGGCAGCCAGCATGTGGCTTGGAATGAACAGAATTTTGGGTCTCTGTTATTAAGTTAGTTGCATGTTTTTGGTACTGGCTGTAGGGGTTAATTGAAAATAAATATTAAGAAAATTTTACAAGTTTATTTTTTACAACACTGATCTAAAACTTGCACGATACAGGTTGCTGTAGATCCGAATCATAGGCATGCATACAGCGTGAAGTCTAACTCAAACTTTTAGATATTCATGATAACAAATGACTCACCACTTCATAAATTTCACTTCCTATAAGCAAGGAAGTAAATTTATGTTTACAGCTGTTTTTAATACTTATCTACTGATATGTTTGATGTCTTTAACAATACATTTGTGTATAAAAGCACGTTCCATCACTACTGCTGTACCATCAGTGATGAGAGGACCTTTCTGGACTACTCCAGCCATGACACTACCAAATCAAATTTTTGAATTTAGCTGGCCAATTCAACACCACCATCTAATTGAGAAACCAAGGATTATTATTGAAAGGTACCATGAAAAACATATTAGGCTCAGTTTGAAACAATTTTTTGAGTGAATGGGTGGAGTAGTGAACAACAAACCATTTACCTTGCTACCCACTTAAAAGGGTTTCTGCTGATGAATTACCTCTATCTCCTCCTCAAAGTACATTGCGATCATATCACAGATTAATTATCATAGTTAGCTGGTCTTCAAAGTATTAAACTTTTGGTAAGCTGAACCAGAGCTGGAAACTATAGAAGATCTAACTGAAGATTCAAAAATATGAATTGTATTTTTCTTGTAAGATATTTGTACTTAAACTGTAAAGGATTCATGATGTCAGTATAAAGAGGGAGTTAGAAGTAAGGATATGAAAATTGGGATATTTTATATGAAGTGATTAATGTCATCACTTCGTTTTTCAAGGGGAAAGGAGTGTGAGATAGCAAATTCAATTTTTTTTCGTGATTATGGTTGTATTTATCATTCTTTTATTATTATTTCCTTCTATCGTTTAGTTTATCTATGAATTTTTAGTTGCATTAAAATGCTAATTCATCTTCTAAATAATCATTCATAATTTGAGTAAATATATATATGTGCATATGATGAAACTGACACCAGCTACCCTAGTGGTGATGTACAGATACTGTTAATGTAGTGGAAGAGTATGTAAATTTATGATCATGAGGTTGTACTCTCATGATCTACTCTGTGAATAAATACCTTGCCAAAAACCTCACCAAGAAAGAAAGAAAGAGCCTTCACTAAGAGAGAGAGAGTCGCGAGATAGTTATTGAAGGATATAGTCATTGCTGTTTGTCACTTGATATTGTTATCAATATTGATATTGAAAGGTATTGTTTGAATAATGTATTTACTGTATTTTATTTTTTGGAATTAGGTTTTTTTTCTCTAGTTCTTTTTCCTGATTCCATTATTACTGATTTATTAATATTGGTGTGAAGTCCTGGCCAGGTACTTGTTTATTAACTATGTTTTGCTAAGTGTTGAATTTATTTTCAAGTTTTTTTGTTGTTGAACCCGAATTGTACCGGCATATTCATTTTAGACTGTTCTATGTGGACAATTGACACCAAGGAAGAGTGCATACTGGGATCTGACTTCATGGAGAGGCGTGGATTTCAAGGTTAGACTAGCTTCAAATAGTTTCACAGTTTGTGAACAGTTTCAACTGAAACATTGTTTGTGATTTTAGAACTACAACTTATGTCAAGGTTAATGTAGCTTATAGAAACATTATATGAGAAATAAACTAATTCGTTATTACTACATATACTGAACTTGGCATTATTTTTATCCTGTAATCCAAAAAAACTTGCATAACGATTGAACATTTTAAAACTATATAGTTTAAGTTAATAAGATGCAACAAATTGGTTATGGTTTAAATCAGTGTTTTTCAACCTTTTTTTGCTTGTGGCTCCCTTTTGAATATGATTTATCTCTGTGGCCCCACCCTTCGTATATGCTGTTACTTAGGAAAAAAGTTACTTTATTTCCACACTGTTGATTTTTAATATATGTATAATATTATAATATTATTTTTACAATATTGTATTATTTTATAAATATTTTGTTTATAATATACTGTTTACTTATACAGGTAAAAAATATTCTGTTAATCATTGACATTTTATTCAGTGTGATCCTTGGGCCTAATGAACACTTGAAAGTTTTTGAATGTCCAGTTGCAGTGTGGTCAGTGATAAACGAAGATCATCTCTCTTCACAACATCAAGGCGGTTATGTATTTTTGCTAGCAAATAAGTCACCTGACTAAAACCAGATTCAACCAGATAAGATGTGGAAAAAGTGATAAAATACAACTTTGCCTTTACCCAGAGCTGTGGAAATTTAGCTATTTCACTACTTATCCAGAAATAATGTTTGTCACATTTGAATCAACTGTAGAGTTCGTCATATGGTGCAGTAGCATTTGTCCTTGAACGCTTGGTTGGTGGAGTGGCACACTGCAGAACAATAGTTTTGCTGCTCTTGAGAATCAGTCGAAAACATTCACAGATACCAGACAAACATTTTGATTGTTACTCGAGTACCAGTCGTTTCTGATAACTTGACTTTTGAGCTATGGGGGATATGAGCAGAAGGGAATCTTTGATTCAATTTCAAATTTTAAATATTTTATTCGGGCAGTGAAGTTTCAGTGGCGCACTCAGAATTTACTGTGGCCCCCTGATTTTCTGTCATTCGTGTGTGGCCCCTTAGAAACATGGCATGGCCCACACTGAGAACCACTGGTTTATATTATTTCATTTAACCAAAAGTTAAGATTTTCCTGTATTTCTGATTGATACTTACCTCCACTCAAATAATAGCTTTTCTCGACAGTCACTGCCCTCTATATATATGCAAATTTTTGCTTGCCACTAGCCTTGGGCTTCCACCTACCTCCATGTATTTGCATGTGGTACAGTTGCAATGTAGCATACAAATTAGCATTCAACAACTCTACATCCTAGTGCAGCTGAATCCCTCAATACTGTAGAATCCAATCTTCTCTTCAAGATTAGGCAAAGTTAAGCACTGAAAGTGGGGAGGATGGGTGGGATGAGGTGTCTATCATAAATTGATTATCAGTGTAGGAAAATGTTAACTTGTGACACAATACCTTACCTCCACTCACATAATAGCTAGAATCCCAGAATGAAGGGGTGGAGGGACTGGTGCAAAATTACTTAGATGAGCACCCTTTGGAAAGTGTGAACCTACTAGTGGTCTTGTGGAACAACCCATCTCAATGGTGGGCATTACAGACCTAAAGGTCATAAGGTGTAAATTTGATGGCTGGTACAGTGCACATCCAGAACCAGACCTCCTGGGAACTGATATCCAGGAGGAGGCAGGATGGGGGACTGCAAACCTAAAAAAATACCTGGACAGGCACCTCTTAACACAGAGTGGGATCCACACTGAAGAATAGGGTCACTATAAGGTAAAAGGGAATGAAAAGGCAAAACATACCCACATATAGTCGAACTGATGGTGACAGGAGGCAGATGGTATCCAGTTGAGGAGGAGACAGCTAAATGATGTAGATAATGGGTGACAAAATTGTGTGGCATAATCCACATGCCAGCCTGGATGACTTCCTCCAACATATGACAGAAATAAGCAACCAGGGACATGGTGAGATGGTGGAACTGGTGAGAGGAGACCTGAAAAAGATGATGGGAACCAAAGGGCAAGGCAGTATAGGACAAATGGATAAATTGGCAAACACAACCTGTAAGTGTAATCGGGGAAAGGTCACAGGAGGAAGAAGGATTCCAGTAGATAAAGAGTTAGGAACAGGAATCAAGGAAAGAAGCTGTATGTATCCAAACAGGAATATAAATGGGAAATGGAAAGTAAGGAAATTACCATGAAAGCAAAACTACCTGTATGAACTTCTGAGGTCTTGGGGAGGAAAGAGTGATCAGGATAAAGGAGAACATAAGTACTATGGTACAGGATATGAGATACATTGAGGGCAAATACATCCTAACAATGATGGCCACAATAAAAAAGGAGCAGGAAATAAGTCTTCAAGGAAAAGTGGTATAGGGAACAGGAAGACATAGGTTTGAACAGCAAAAGAGTAAGGGTATGCAGAACGACATTAAGATTCCAATCTATTAACCCTATCGAGACGGGTAGGGTCAGAGGGCATGTCATCATGTTTGTAGATTTACATTCAACATTTTATTTAACTATTGTTTTATAAACGTATGTCAATAAGTTTAGTATGAAACTGTAGATTATAATTCAAATTTTAGTATTATACATTAGTTAGTTTCTTAATTTGAAACTAAATATAAAAAAAACAACAACTAAATATCGATTTTTGTGTGTCACATGGTACTTGGCCTTCTGGGTTTAGTCAGATTACATTTTATGATGCCCACAATACAATGTCTATAGTTTCATATGAATTAGAAACTCAAATGTTTGATATTGGCGAGCTAGAATATAAAATAAGAAC